AGAGATAATAAGAAATGTTTTTCATAATAGTTAAATTTAAGAAATACATCAGTAGAGTCTCTTGGGTTCTAAGAAAACAATTATTTCCTGGCTCATCAGAAGCTATGAAGAAGGTGATGTATGTCCAGCCTCTGACTGCGGACATCGTGCAACTGACACGTTGCTGGCAGCTGGGAGAATATAACCAGAAGTACCACACTACCTTCTAAGATCCAATTGCTAAGAATAAGGGCTATTTGGCTAAGTGGACCTTCAGTGCAATCCAGACCAGAGTCAATGTGTGAAAGGTTCTCTAATAAATATGAACTTTACAGGTTTTTACTGTTTCCTGCCCCTCAGTAAGCTTATGAAAACATCTATTTGAAGTCTGATATAACTATATTGCCGTGATTGTTGATCAAGATATGCCTTTATAAGGCTATTTGGTACTTGCTTGATTTTAAAGTTATAAAAGTCTCTTTTTCAGGATGGATATTGACTGGCTGTCATTCCATTACTGTAGGATTTTGACAGGAGTAGAAATTTCATGGCCTGTCTGATCTTACAAAAGGAAAGAGTTGAACTCAGAAGATCCTCTGTTTCATCTCCCTGCTTGCAGATCTCAGTAACCTGCTTTGCTTTTTTCTGTAGTTAAGAAAGTTTGTATAGTGTGTTCTTAATTTCTAGTGAACTGTTTTCAGAGTATGTTTCACAGTTTTAAAATATCAAAGGTACTTGTGAAATTCAGTCTAAACAATTAATATTAGCTTTTTTTCCCCTCTTGTTTGTCATTAACCAATATGCATGATTGATCACAGTTTCTGCGATCTTGAATGCAGACACATAAAATTTATTCTATAGCCCTTACCATGTATTTTAAGTTTTTTTAATTTTAAGATTTTATAAATGTTACAATGGATTTTGCAGTGACATCCTGACTCCTCCAGTAGTGAACTGAAGATATGTACTGATGAGTTTGTCTTGAGCATCTAAGTGGCTAAATTTTATTTCATTCCTCTTGTTATTTTGGACATTTAACTGACTAATGTCTTATTTTACTGATGTTCTGCTAGGAATTATTATCATTTCAGTTTGAAGAACTGAACTATGATAATTAAAGTAGCGACAAAGAGATTTAATAAAGTTAGTATAAAATAAGCTACTTAAAAATGCACAGGTTTGTTAGGCTCTGATTCTCCCCCCCAATCTCTTTTTTTATTTCATACTCACATGTTTTTCATTTTTTTTCTGTAATAAGGAATTAAATTGCAATTTCTGGTTATAGCTTAGTTTTAGGAAAACTGAGGTTTAAAACCAAACCAGCTGAAAACATTTAACATATCATAAAATACATAATTAGGCTGCAGAAATAGATAAAAGGAACACATTAGAAGCAAAGGCTTTTTTTATTTTTGAGTGTTTTGGTATGAATAGTTTGTAATCGTTATTTCCTTACCAATTTTTGGTAAGGAGCTATAGTTTTTTATTTTTCTTACTTATTTTTTTTGCTTTACTTACTTTTCTTACTTCTGTATCTATCAAGGTTCCCTTTTTCTCTCTATAAGCCTTCAGAAATTCTGGAATAAAACGAGAAGAATAGCAGAATTTCTCTAAGGAACAGGAATTCAAATTGCTTTACAAAGGAAAAGTAGATGCAAATTACAGAGGAAGGGATATTGTGAAGCAAAGGACCACTGCCTCTGTGAGTGCTGATACAAAAAGGAATGGCAGAAGGCTCTTGTGAATCAGAGTGGAGAACACCTTTATTGTTCTGGGTGCACTTATAGATAAACCAGTGTTTAGGAAAGACTGAATTCATTCATTCTCCTTCCACTGTCAGCAATCAGAGAAGATTTGCAAGAACACTGTCCCCAGGAAGAAACCTCCAATACTGTGCAACTCTTAAACCGGTGAAAGGATTTTTGAGTCAGACAACAAAGCCTTCCCAGAAGGGGGAAGTCAGACCTTGTGGTCTACTGTTGTTGCTTTTTACGAAGATGTAAACATTTTCTGTCCTTTTGTACACTGATGAAATGAAGATTTAAGATGAATGCATGTGATCAAGGCCATCTAAAAGGTACCAGAGGATTTTGATTTTCTTATTACAAAGAGTACAGGAGGTGGTCTGCCCTGATTAGTTCCCTCTCTATGCTTTGCCAGAGTTGGTGTCTCTCGAGTGGGATGACACATAATGGTTTTTGATGTTTACAAAAATTCTTCTGTACGTTACAAATTAAAGCCTGAGGCAGGGTGAGTACAGAAAAAAAAGAACAGAAGCATAGGTAAGATGAGAGCAGAGCAGGAGAAAAACTCACACGCATGCTTTGAATTATTAATGTGGATGTGCTCCTGCCTTTCTCCTTGAGGCTTTATCTACAGAGGTGTTACAGGGCCGACTCATAAAGAAATATGAAACCCGAAAGGGAAGTAAATATGCCCAGTGATGGTACTATTAAATTTGCAGTATCATTCTTGTCTAGAAAGATACTCGGGCAATGCCTTGCAGTGGCCAGAGGCACTAGGGTGCTGATTCCCATAGCCATCAGATTTCTTGGTGTCACTTCAGCTGGCTCAGCTTCATCTCTGGCAATGCTGATGGCAGGCAGCCCATGTATGGTGCCTCATCATGCAATTCCCTGGGAGAGAGAGCTGGAGCACTCAGACGGCATTTGTACTTCCTCTGCTTGAATTCTTCCTTTTCCATGTAAACAGGCTGATTATTTCACCTGCAGAACTGGAAAACAGTTAATTTTTCATATATCACATGAAAATTCTTTAAGCCTTTTCAAAATTCTTCTTTACTGCTATGGAGGTATTTGAACATATTTAATTTTAGTTATATTTGATGCTTATTCTGCATAATGGTAGAACGTGGAAAGGTGTTCCGGTTGTCAGGGATCCTTGGGCTTATCTGAAATCCCTAGGACAAAATACAGTTTGCAGTGTTATGTTCATTTAGGATAATGTTTGGAAATAATAGAGGAAAAGCTATCAGGCTGACTGCTGTGTCCCAAGAGACAAAATACAAACCAATTAGCAGAATGGCATGACTGATAACAAAATCCAACAATTTATTGTTGGATGAATAATTTATTCGGTATATTCTATGGGGGGAGAAACTCACTGTGTCAAGTTTTCTGACAGCATAATTCTGTTTGAGTTTGTTGAATTGTGCCAAGATTTGGGTTTTTTTTAATCTCAGCTGCTGCAGCAGTTAAATGTAGTTATTCTGTGAGAAAGTTCAAATCAGGAGCAATTAGTATTCCCCAGGCCTAGTTTTCCATCTGGTAAGTGAAGACAAATTTAATTAGAAAGGGTGAATTTGGGAATTCTGCTGGTAGCAGATCATCTGCTTGCCTATTGCTTCATTGCAGTGTCTTGTCTCCTGCTTCTCATCCCTTTTGATGATGTTCTGACAATAGTCACTATACCAAAAGTGCAGTGTGCTTCAGCTGTGTGCTTCAGGATTCTCTGATTTCACCCCGTGTTTGACTTGGTCTCCATATTGATCTTAAAATGAGTGTATCAAATTAGAAACTTCAAGTGAGATAGATGAAACTGTAGCATTTTTATTCATGAATACCCAAATCAGAATTTTCAAGATACTAATTTGATTGTCTCACCTTATCTTGTGGGTAAGGGCTTTCTGGATGTGGGGCTCTGTTCTCCATGAGCACTGAGGCTGGTGTTGCTGTAGCTGTTATTGTCTTTTGCTTAGGAAGTTTGCCTTGCAGATTTCACAGCACATCCGTTCTGTCTGTTTAACCCAGGACTTTTTTGGGGGATCATCTGAACCTGATTCTGTGATCTTTTGTTTTTAATTCTTCTTCTCCCTTTTCTGCTTTTTGGGTGGATTGGTTGGTTTGTTTATTGTCATATTTCAAGGCACAGTAGGAAGGTAATTGTCTATCAGATGTACTATAGATTTTAGTATTGATCATATTGTCCAGTAGGTTGTCAAATTGAGTTTTAAACTCTTTAATGTTGCTTCACTGGTGACAGCTGTTAGAGATTTAACCTTACCATTCCCTGGGTCTTGTTTTGGGCTTATTAGGCTTTGGGCACTCCTAAGAGTTTAATGAATCCCTGGTGACACAGCAGTTTGGAAATTTTCTTTTGGTCTTTGACTATGTTGTTATGTTCTTGCGTAGTACATTGTTGTATGTTATCTTTGACTGTTGCTCTAACATTACATGTTTTCCCTGTGGTTGGATGCAACTGCAAACAACACTAACATTAGGGTCTGTTTAGTGGTAGAGTGAGATGTGCTCTGTGTACCTCAGACTTGTTAAGGAAATAACCAGCCATGGCTGAGAGTCTTTGCTGCAGGTCCATAGCAGGGTCTCTAACTAGATCATCTCCAGCTCAGGCCTGGAAAGAAGGAAACCCCTGTTGTCTGGGATGCTCCTGATAGGTGATATTTCAAATCTACTGCAGATGGATGAGTGTTATTTTGTGCTGAATCTCTGTTTCACTAACTGTAAAGACTTCTGGATCTTCATCTTTTGTCTTCTTTCTTTCAACCTATTATTACAGTTCAAATGTTTTCTATTTTAGTTTTGAGTACACTATAGAAAACTTTTGATTCAACTTCTGTGTTTGTATCCTCTAAATTGATACTTCTGCCTTATTTTTATATCTTTATATTAAAAAATTATATATTTTTTTATAACTTTGTATTTCTAATATATTGTTTTCCTCTGGGCAGATTTTTTTTGTAGTTACAAGCAACTCCGATGTAACTGTATATGGTATATTTTTTCAAGTTGGCCATACAAATGGGCTTATTAAAACATAAATTACCTTCAATTTTTTTATGAAGAAATATGCTTTGAAAGAAGAGAACAGATAAGCATCTAAGTTAGCCTGTTTTAAAGACTATATCTATTTTGTTCCATTTGTTAGTTTTCTTGATGTGATCTGCTGTATATTTAATGTTTAATTTCAAAACTTCATTGGTATTAAAACCTCTCATTGAATATTTTTTGTAAATATTTTTCCTTTTCCTTTTCACTCTGTAGGTAGAAGAAATTGTTGATATAGGAGCATTTGCCCCAGAAGACATTCATGTTCCCAAAATCTATGTTGATCGTCTGTTACAAGGAGAAAAGTTTGAGAAGAGAATTGAAGTACGTAGCTGAGCTTCTCAGTCACAACATATTTCATGTATTTAAAATTTGCATGGTGTTTAGTCTAGCCACCAAGTCTTAGCACTGAGAAAATAGCATGAGAAAGACCCATCAAGTTTTGCTAAAAAGTGGAACTTAGATAGGTACTTACTTAGTTGGGTGGGGGCCTGAGGATTGAGCCTTCTTTCTTACACCTGAGAATCTATGGTTCAATTCCTGAATAATTTAGGGTAACTGCTTGTAGCCCTGGATGGCTTTACTGCAGTTGAAAATCTAGTGGAAAATTCTGCTAAATTCTCCTTCCCTCTCTCAGTTCACCTGTTGTAGATAGAACAAAGGGAACACCTAGACAAGGATCTGACTTTCTTTTCCACTGGACAGCTTTTAATGGGGGCACGTAGATCCAGCCTCAGTCACTTCTTGAATTATGTTATGCTGCAAAGGTCCTGCAAACCTTTGTTCCCTTTTCTTTAATCAGGAACTTTTCTAACTTGTGGTCTTTCTGGTCTGAATAAAAGATGTCAATAGCTATTAAAATTTCTGCAATAATACTCCACCACTGAAAACACCCAAGAAAATTATGGTTGTGTAATTGTTGTTTCTGTGACTTTGCCACACTCAGGCTATGTCCCTATATTCATTTTGGTGATGTGACAATGCTTTTAATGTGCAGTTGAAAATTCTGTACTTCTTCTGTGTCCCCATAGTCTGGAGGTGGGAATTGTTAATCAGAAAAACTGGTAGAAGTGAAGATATGTGATGCAAGGAGAAAAAATCTGTGAGAAAAAAAGTGCAAAAAGGAATTGTAATAATTAAACATCTGTTATTAAAATCAAATCACAAAGTCCTAGGAAGTTGTACAGAGCCTTTTCTCTGAGAATTCTCTTTTGTGAATGCTAAGGTTAAGAAACTCTTTTTTTTAAATTCTGTCTGTTAATTCTGCAAAAGCATATTGCATATTGTTGAGTAATTGACTGCAAACAGATGTGTCAAACCCTTTTTTTTTTTCCCCTCTGGTTGTGTTGGGTCAGATTGCAATTAATGGCCTATTTTCTCCTTCTGAATGGCTGCATTATCTCCTGGAAAAGCTTTTTACCTTTTATGACAGATAATTTTTCATTTATTAAACTATTGCTCCTGCTGCATCTTGGCTGCATAAGTGAATACCTCTTTAGCCAATACCTACTGAATACCTGGTGAATACCTACCTAGTCATCTGCCCCCTTCCATATATGCTTCAAAAAAAAAAGGGGGCAGGGGTGAAAGCTACTATAAACTGCCAAGCAAAATTGTAACAGATTAATTTTGATTATGTAATTTTGTAATTCTGGCAGTGGCACCTCTCACTAGGTATAGGTATAGGAAGGAAATGGAAGATTTATTTACTCTTCTGTTAAATTTTATAAATCAACTGGCTGTACACAGAAAAGCAGTGGGTATGGTAAGTGGTGAGAGAAGATGAAGAACATAAGAAATAAAGAGAAGCTAGTCTGTCATAATTCTTACTGGCTTTAAATAGTAGTTATTGCCTAATATGGCTTAGAAGTGGTCTCTCTAGCACCAGCTATAATTTCTATCCAGCCTTCTCTTTGCTGTATAGAAACCCTCTGTAATTGTTTCTACTTTATTCATTATCTATAAGTGAAGCAATTCTAGGGAAAATAACCAAGGCATAAAAAGGAAGGTGATGGGAAATTCAAGAGGATTGATATTAACTGTTTCTGACTTCTTAAGGAGAAAGTGACTCCGCAAAAATTCTTCTTTTGTGCTGATGAAAAGTAACAGGATATTTTTTTCTGATGTGTTAATTGTAGCCTGAAGTAGGAGAAAATATGAAGACATATGGAGGTGCAGGACATGATGTTTCCCAGAGGAATTTTATATGCATAAGAGAGATGTGCAAAGGACATAATCTATGTAGACAGTAATTTTAAAGAAAGATGTTACAAACTTCTTGAATGTCATGGCATTTTCACCTACATGTGATTTACAAAACATGAACTTCAGATGAGAAAATACCAGGAAACAAATTCATGGGGTGTGCAAGATTATAGAGACTTGTGTTTGAAAATTTTGATTCTTAGCTCCCCAGTATCTTTAGATGAATGGCATTTGTCTGTTTCATCCTTAGAAATCTATAATAGCTCATTGAATTGAATGAATGCAGAAAGAGAGCAGTATTTGTATTTTCAACTGACATTTTATTATTATATTAAATCTATTTAAGTATCTCTGGGGTAATGAATCTCAGACTTGCTAGTATTTGTGCTAGTGCTTGGTGCCTTCTTCACCACTTCTCTATGTATCAGGCTTGGCAATACAGACAAAGAAATAATATTTTACTCTAAGGCTGTTACTGGCAATATTTGATGATTCCATTGGCTTAGCTAAGCTTGAAGGCATAAAATAAAAGGTCGGTTTTTTCATAGAAGATTAATAAATAGCTTTATTCTTAGACCAAATATCTCAGTGCAATCACAAATCAAGCTTTTGTGTCTTGAAAAGCAAGAATCTGGATTTTAATCTTATGATTACTTCTTATTTTGCAGCGCTTATCAATCCGAAAGCCTGAAGACTCAACAGCCAAACAAAAAAAGGGAGACAATGTGAGGGAGAGGATCATCAAACGGGCTGCGTTAGAGTTTGAGGATGGCATGTATGGTATCCTTCAGCTATGCTATAGGTCAAAGTGATAGCTGACTAGAATAAGAAACCTATCTGTTTTGTTTAGAACAGATTGATTAACTTGCTCATTGTCTTTACCACACCCTGTGATTCTCTTATTTTATTAATACCCAATTGAAATAGAAGGGATACTAAGACATAAAATACAGAGTTTTTATGTCTGATGGCTTTGTTAGCAGTTGAATGTGTTGCAGGAATTTCTCAGAAAAAATGGAAAAGATTTATTTGTACTGTCAATATTTTTATCCTACATAGGATTTGACAGAATGCAATTAGACAGTCCAAATGGCAAAATAATTCATAATTCATCACAAATATGAGGTATTTAAGTAAAAACAGAAGTGCTTGTGAAAAGAACAGTTCTAATCTACTCATAATATAGTAGTAATTTTTTTTAAATTTACTAGTTTGCAATAAGTGTTTCTGCCTTAACCACCTTCTTTCAGCTAATCTAGGTATTGGAATCCCGCTGCTGGCCAGTAACTTCATCAGTCCAGACATAACTGTTCACTTACAGAGTGAAAATGGAGTCCTGGGTTTGGTAAGAATATATCTTGGTCAGTTATTATAGTGTTTTTATGTTGCTGTGGCTGGGTTTTATTTCCTGCCTGCCTCCAACTTGATTATTATATTACTAAAAATATATATACTATATTATGTCATCATAAAATTCTCACTCTGCTGCAGAGAAGTTTTCTAGGAAATGCTCATTTTATGATTATGGTGCTACTTTGCTAAGGATGTCCTTTGGTTTCTGGACTCAAAGCCATCAGGACTTTGCAAGACCAAGCATTGTAAGCCTTAGCAAACATAATTTTAAATAAAGCTTAAAGCTTACTGTCATAGGGCTTTATGAAGTTTCAGTTATGACCTTTTTTCTGAAAAACATCTGTCACTTTGATTTAGAACAAAAAGAAGCTTAAATCAAACAAACCTCTCACTTCATGATTGTTTAGTAATTCTAATATCCTTGAACAATATGTCCAAGAGACCTGATATGTTACTTGATATAATCTGTGGTGTGTAATGTCAGGATTTTTTTCTGATAAAAAAATAGAATTCTGCTTAAAAAAGATAAAAATGCATGTCTGCCATGGTTTGGTAATAAGCATTAGAAATAGTATGGCAATTATTAATTGTATTTTAAAGGTATTTTATTATAAATCTTAACATACATCTGTATTGTTGTCAGGGTCCTTATCCACTTGAAAATGAAGTAGATCCAGATCTGATTAATGCAGGTAAATACTTAAATTTAATTAATGGAAAATTAATAACAATTTAATTTAAAATTTTTATTTTGATACAGTATTTGAACCTAGAGACCTGTTTTATTTGATAATAAATATTAATGCATTTGTCTGTTTTTTAAGCGACAGTCTTCTTCTTTGGGGAGAGGCTCTCTTCCAGGCCTCAGTAAATGATGAATTATTTTTTTCAGAAGTGAGATTGTTTTGAGCAGCCTGTAAGGGAATATGGGTTTGTTTTCCTGCTGCTTTTCCTTGAGTATTCTAGAAAATGGTTTTCAATGATTTATGCTTGGGACATATTTTAAGACATCCTATGTATAATAGCTTGGTTTATTCTCAACCAGGAATATAACTCATTTGCATTCAGAGAGGGAGTGGGAGCCAAGGCAGGGGGAATGATCTGGGACCTGGCGCACCGAGGGCACTGCTATGGGCAGCTACTTCTGCCACTTTTAGCAGGGAATGGTAATTCTCACATACTGTTGTTGCCCAGCTGTTTTAGGGCATTTCGCCTCAGGAGGTGTTAGTCAGTGTAAAAACGTAAGTTTCTCATGATTTAGTGCACCTGTCTGATTTCTATTTTTTTCGTGGAAAAGTTGTGTCTGTGTCCATTCTCTGTCTCCATGTAAAAATACACCTAAATATTGCATTGTGACAAACAGAAGTAGACCTTGTGAGTTTGTTATTAATGTTAATGATATAGCTTGTAGATCTGAAATTTTGGACTTGTTTTTTCATATGGAAAATGTACACATTTCATATTTTTTATTCAAATATACACATGCATACATACAAATACATGTATGGGTGTCTACATATGTATATATATACAGAGAGTACCTTTTTCAATGGCTGTTAGCAAGTACAGTTAAACTCTGAAAAGTCAAAGGAGATAACGCACTGACATAAAATAATTTAAATTTAATATCGGTCCAGCAATTGTTCACTGACTTGAAACATTTGCTGCTTGGCTTAGCTAAATGATACCTATCATAGTGCTATGTAATTGCCTCTGTTACTGTCTTTTAATGTGGAGTTATTTGAGGCCATTTTCTGGTTTGAAATAAAAAATTATTTAAGAAGTTGAGTCCAGCATTTCACCAGTATATATACAAGAACTGCATGAGGGAATATGTCAGAGGAGTCACTGGAAGAAGAAAAATATTTAGAAGAAAAAAAAGCTATGAGTGAATTATATACATGGACATTAGAACTTTAGTTTTAAAATGGATGCATATGAAAAATGAACATATTAATAGAGTGGCAGTGAAAAAAAATACCCAAGAACCTAATAAATTCTCGGAAAAAATTGTGCTTTAACATGGAAATTGAGATGGTCTGGAATTGTTCTTTATAGTTGATAAATATTTTAAGGGTTATTCTGGAAGACATGAAGGACATGTCTTCCAGACATGTCAGGTTAGAATGACATTCAGAATGCAACGAGAAAATTGGATTATTGTACTATTGTTAATTCAATGTTAAGCAGCCTCACTTGTCCCCCTAAAGCTGCAATAAGCAGGACATGGTATAGACAAACATCAGACCTACCACTAAAATAGTTATTTCTGTAATTGCTGAAACATTCACATGGTTGGATTAGGACCATTCTAGGTACTTTCCAATCAAATTTGTAAAACCAAAATTTGTGAAGAAAACAGAAGCTGAATGGCAGAGGAATAGAAATTAATCTTGTTCTCGTTCATTAGCTGGAATGATCCAGTATCAGCCCCAAAGTCCAGTTTCAAGATTTTAAAACAAATACATGTTTTGGGCTTTTGCCAAATTTCTCTCTGCAAATATAATTGTATTGCTCTGAAATATGTATTTCTTAATGTCTCACATGAAGTACATCTTGACTGCAACTGAAAGGTAGACTATTACAGCAGAAATATTTTAAAGTACTGACCTCCTGAGAGCATTTTAAGAAGTGGGTAATGTGGTGCTCTTTTGACATTATTCTGTGGTCCTAAGCCTGTGTGTCTTTCTTATTATTACTATTTGTCACTTTCTCCCGGGCTTCTCTCTCCATGCTGCTGCCTGCAAACCCTGTTTTCTCTTTCATTGCCTTGGGTGGGTGCCCTGTAAGGAAAGATAATTCAGGCTGTCTCAGCAGGTCTGGGTGTTGGCATGATGAATTATTGAGAAGTGTGCAAGATCACTTGTATGACCTTAATTCTATACTATTCTTTTTAATTTCCATACAAATGGCGTAAAATATACCTCAGACGAGTTCAATAATTAAAGCATGTATCTTAGATCTTGAATTTAAGTTTTATGCACTGTTTCTTTCCCTTTTCCCATTCTCTTAGTTAATCTCATTGTCTTTTTTTCCTCTGTTTTCTGCAAACTGTTCACTGATACATCATTCCCCTTCTCCTTTGTTGTTACAGTATGTCACATGTTGCTAAAATATTTTGGTTTGTTTTTATCTCTCAAGTTTAACATGCTTTATAATTTTACCTTCATCTGTGTTTCTTTTGCCTTATCAGAGACAAATGTTTGTTTCTTAGACTGATTCAAAGAGCAAGCAGAAGAGGAAGAAAAGGGCCCTGTACAGAGTCAAAATAAGACACATGCAGGAGTGCTGCATTGCTTGACTCAAGCATTGTTCATAGCACAGTACAGAACACAGAAGCACATTTTCTTGTGCCCTTTAAAAAAGCAAGAATAGACTAGACCTATCTCTTTTTTTTGTATTTTTCATCATTAGTAACTATAAACTGTTCAATCTGATCTGTTTGCTTTTCTTTGCAGCCTCTCAGTGTCCTGAAGGCTTTATATTTCTCTGTTTCAAAGGACAGTTACTTCTCACTTTTTCTGTGAATGGAGAAGAAAGCTAAAGTCCATAGATATTGCGTACACTCTGGTGTTCGTGATGCTTGCCTGGAACTGCTGGTGGTCAAACAGCAGGCAATCCTATCATTAGAAGCGCTAACAAGCTGCTTCACAATTCAATAGGATTGATTAGGTTTACATGTGACATTGTAAGTGTAATCAGGTTTGTAGTTGTACTAAATCCAAAGGAATTTGATAAAAACCTCTTATTTTTTGCTAAATAACTGTGACTTCATTTGTCAAAGAAACAAAATGCATACTGTAAATTATTTCTTTTACAGGTAAGGAGACAGTCACTGTTCTTCCAGGTTCTTCCTATTTCTCTAGCGATGAATCATTTGCAATGATAAGAGGGTATGTAACAACACAAACTGATATTTTTGAAACAGGGAAAGAATAAACTGCATCAGTGGGAGAACTCATTAGTATTTCTTCCAAATGTGGTTAGCATTAAACAACCTGTAAAATTATTGTGGACTTAATCATTGGTGGTTTACAGAGGGTTAAATCTAGCTATTGGAAATAAAAAACCACTGAACTAATAGATATCATTGTGATGTTTGTGCCTACCACCACCTGGCCATCTATAAACACATTTATAATGACATTTTAACAACTATTTTTTGGTATTTTCCAAGTATCTAATCTGTACCTGCACTCAGTATATTTTCTTTGCTCAGCTTGCGACTGTGATCCTCATTCCACCTCAGTGGCAATTCAGCATCTGCACCTGTTTTTTGTTTGTTTTTTGGAAAGGAGTTTGGATGCAAACAAGCACTAAATCCTAATGGCACTGAAAAGATAATGGGTACATGTAAATATGTTAAGGAGTGCATTAAAAAGTACAAGTTCAGAGATGATTGACTGCACATGCAATTAACCAAACCAGACAAAAGTAGGAACATTTTTGAGGCTCAGTAGGCATAAAGAGACATTTGCATCAGTGATACATCTAGGGGGAAAAAAACCCAACTGTGTGTGTAACAAACAGTTGCTGCCTTTGTCACATGCCACCATTTTAAAATTGATGTAATGAGCATAAAAAAAAGCTTGTTAAAATTCGTGGGCTGTTACTTGAACATGATATGCTAATTACACACTTTCTGTTACCAGAGGCCATGTTGATTTGACAATGCTTGGAGCTATGCAGGTGTCTAAGTACGGTGACTTGGCCAACTGGATGATTCCTGTAAGTAGGTTTTTGAATTACTGGCAGTGTACTGTGTTTAGTATAACATAAATGTAGCTGAGGACCACAAAAAGGAGAAAAGGGCAGAAGTAGAATGGGGGTTGTGAAGCTAAAGGTAGTAAAATAGAGGATATGTGTATTTCTCCTGCATACTGCTGGCACCAAGCAATGCATTATCTGGAGCATTAAGCTGGAAGAAAGTGTAAACAAGCATGTAATTAATTATAAAATCATAAAAAGGGCCTGCATTATTTTTCTATATTTCTGTCAAAAGATTGTAGCATTGCCCTTTCAAATGCATTAAGAAAAAGGCAATAATACTGTACTTAGCCAAACAGACCTTCAGGTTTCAATGATAGAAATATAAGCTAATTCCAGTATTATTTAAGCAACTGATAACATTAAGCCATTCTTGGAACTTTATGTTCTAACATTAAACATTAGTGACTTTCATACTGTTGACAAGTTTGGTATTTTCAATGGCTTTCAGTATGGTACTTTCAGATATGGTTTGTATCAGAGATGTCTAGAAGCAAACTTTCTTATTAACCTTGTTAAAAGTAATGAGACGTATTTCTATCTACCTGAGTACTCTTAAAGGCCTTGGGAAACTGAATTATTAGAGGGGACAAAAACCCAAATTAATGTCCTTGTCTCTTGGAGAAGCATTGATTGAACCCAGGAATCTGTGACTTCTACAGCAGACCTTTGAGCATGGAAGTCATGGAGCAGTGATTGTAGCATAAGTTGATTTTACTGAGAGGGGGCGGCGTCTGACATGGGAGCCATACAGGCAGATGTGGGGAAAAGGGTTATGTGAAGGGCTAGTCCAGGTGTCTGGATGAGTAATTGTGGGGAGTGAGGATTATGGCTAGGTTCAAATGCACCTTTCAAGACCTGAACTATCGAAAGATGAAGACAGCATTTTGTACTAATAAGAAAGTTTATTTACACATGCATTTCTCGAAACATTGAAGCTAAGATTGTTTGTAATCTTTCTCAAAATGGTGCAGATTTATATGTTCTTCCTTCACTGCTTTATGTTCTCTAAAATATAGTGATTCTAGTTTTGTATTCATATATATCAAGAAGATTATTTTTTATATCTGGTACTGCTTATTTTACCTATGAAGTTGCCTCTCAGTTCTGTTCAACCCCAAATTTATGAATAACAGGTATATTTTCAAAACAGGAAAATATAAAATGCAACTTTCAATACTGTTTGACTTTTTGTTACCTTTGAGATATACCTTGTTATTACATACTGCAGCATAAATCAGATGGATCCTCATGACTTTTTACTGTTGTCATTTTCCACTCTTACTGATCTTTGGCTGTTTGGAAATTTGCTCTGCAATGAGCTGTATTTACTTGTGAGTATGCCAGTGAAACTTCATAAATCCAACCAGGAGTCTTTCCAAGCAGCAATAATTTCTCTTTGGTTACTTTTATGGAGATCTGTTGGATGGATGATTTTAATCTACTTTATTGATGTGTTACCACTATTTTACAATACAGATTTTAAAAATGGGATTAATCAGCCCATAGGTATACAGATCTCCTTGAGTTTCCTGTAAATATGATGATACATTATTTTCAGCTAAATTTAATTATGGGCAAGATTTGGTTCTTTTTTTAGTCACAATATTTGTGTGTGGATGATACAAAGATTGACTTGGCTGAAAACTCATAGTGCAAGGAAACTTCAAGCTGTATTTTGTTCTAACATTTTTCACTTTTCATTTAGTTTTGGTTAAATATTTCTTATACACTGTAGCTTTTGGATTCTTGTATTGATAGTATTTACCATTTTTTCAAAGGCAAGAAATAGCTCCATATGTTTTGAACAAGTACCATTATGAGGCAGTTCTTTCTGTCCCATAAGAACTTGATAACACTTGAGGCTTAGTGCATGCATGTGTGTGTGTACATGCATTTACTATTAGGAACTGAGCTGCTGAAGTCTCATTGCAGTAATTACAGCCTTTTCTTTGCTCTTATCTGCTGACGTTTAATGGAGAGAAAAATCCCATGAGTAAAAGAAGAAGAGGGTGTGAATATTTTAAGTACATGCAGTAAAAAATGCTGTTTGCTTAGGCTGAAGCTACTTCCTAAATACTGGCATTTATTGGTAATTTTATTCCATTAAGCACTACTATTTAATGGCTTTTTGTCTTCCTTACTTTGGTATTTCTCCAACTAACAAGAGGGTTTCTGAGGAGGGAAAGGAGAAGGAGGCAAATTTCTGTGGATCCCCTGGGAACAGAATGCGGTTGTGAGAAGTTGGCCAAGAGAGTTTGAAAAGAAACACAAGGGGTCATAATCATGGATTAGGTCAGGTAGGCCAGAACAGATAATCCATGGCTGCTGGTTGCTATTGGATGGAGCCACATTTCATTTCATGAGTGCATGACACATATAACCTATCTGTGTGTCTCAAGTTAATATTGGAAATTGCTGCCAGCAGGGCAGCTTCCTGACATTTTCAGAGCAGCAGCATTAGTGGTCTCACATGTAATTTTAAAAGCTGAGGGATTGACTGCACATATCACTGCATGTACTTGCTTCGTTTCAGTTCGTTTCAACTACTGTCTTCTTGAAACCCTAAGAACAGAAGCATTTATGAAACATTTCTGCTGCTCTTCTGGAGGGGCTGAGTTTACTACAAAGTACTACAGCTGCCAAATAGTTCTTTATTTTCCCCATCCTTCCTAAGAGAACACAAGTAACTATGATTATTGTGGTGACATGTATCAGAGGCTGGGAATAGGTCAAAACAAAGCACCAGAACTTCTGCCAGGTTCCCTTGTGACACCAAGGCCTCTGTCTTTTTAATATGCATTTCTGAACAACCCATAACACTAAACAACGCTTATATGACTACTCATACAGCTGACACACTGTAGCAGCAGAAAAAATATTGAAACAATAGTAGAGGGTCCCTGCAGCTGGAAGTTGATGTAAAGCACAAAATGGATGAAATCTCCATGACATTGGATTTCACTAGGCAGAAACTTCTTGCAGGGGAAAAATATAACTATACAGTAAATCATTAATGAGAAGATAGCTTACTCAGGAGGACTACAAGGATGTCATGACGTTTATGTAGGGAGAGTATCAGAAGAGCCAAGTCCAACTTAATTTGGCTAATGCCATAGAAGACAGTAAAAGGTGCTTCTATAAATACATCAATAACAAAAGAAGGGCTAAGGAAGTTGTCCATCCTTCATTGGAGGCAGGGAGAAACATAGTGACAAAAGACATGGAAAAGGCTGAAGTACCTTATACCTTCTTTTCCTTAGTCTTTTATGGTACGACCAGTTGTCCCCCGGTACTGAGCCCTCTGAGCTGGAAAACAAAGGACAGGGAGCAGAATAAAGCCTCCACACTTTGGGGGAACTGGTCACTGACCTGCCACACTACTTGGACACACACAGTTCTATGGGACCAGATGGGAGCCATTCCAAGGTACTGAGGGAACTGGTGAATGTGCTCACTGAGGCTTTCCGTTGTTTTCCAGCAGTCCTGGTTAACCTGGGAGGTGCCAGATGACTGAAGGTTTGTAGGTGTGATGGCTGTCTACAGAAGAGCCAGAAAGAGGATCCAGGGAATTGCAGGTCTGTCAGCCTGACCTCAGTGTTAGGGAAGGTCGTGAAATAGATCATCCTGAGTGCTGTCATGCAGGGCCTACAGGACAGCCAGGGCAGTTCCTGCTTAAGAACCTGATCTTCTTTCATGGCAGGATGTCCAGCTTAGTGAATGGTGGAAAGGCTATGTATATTGTCTACCTGAACTTCAGTTAAGTTTTTGACATCATTTCCCACAACGTTCTTTTGGAAAAACTAGCTGCTTATGACTTGGATGGGGGGACGCTTGGCTGGGTAGAGAGCTGTGGGTGGTAGAGTCCAGGGAGTGGTGCTGGATAGAGTTACATCCATCTGGGGCTGGTCACTGGTAGAGTTCCTCCAGGCTCAGTACTGGGGCCAGCCCTGATTAATATCTTTATTCATGATCTGGATGAGGGCATTGAGTACACCCTCAGTCAGTTTACAAGTGACACCAGTTTGGGTGGGAGTGTTGATCTGCTGGAGGGCAGGAAGGCTCTGCAGAGGATCTGGACAGGCTGAATGAATGGGCTGAGGCCAGTGGTGTGACTCAACAAGGCCAAGTGCTGATTCCTGCCTTTGGGTTACAACAACCCCAGGCAGTGCCACAGGCTGGGGCAGAGTGGCTGGAAAGCTGTGCAGTTCAGGAAAGACTGTGATGCTGGAGCATGTCCACAAAAGAACTACAAAACTGGTGTAGGGTCTGGAGCACAAGGCTTATAATGAGAAGCTGAGGGAGCTGGGGGTATTTAGCCTGGAGAAAAGAAGGCTCAGGGAACACCTTACTATTCTCTACAGTTCCCTGAAAGGAGGTTGTACCCAGGTGGAGTCAGCCCCTTCTCCCAGCAACTGATAGTACAAGACAAGACAGCCTCAAGTTTTTTCAGGGCAGGTTTAGATTGGATATTAGGAACACTTTCCTCACCAAAAAGTTTGTCAAGCATTGGACCAGATTCTCCAGGGAAGTGGTGAAATCAGCATCCCTGGAGGTATTTAGAAGACGTGTAGATCTAGCTCTCAGTACTCACCATCAAAGAGGACTGAGGACTGCTAATAGACTGCATTTGTGTAAATTCACAAGGGCAGACAGAATACATCTGAAGGTGCAAAAGAAACTGGCCATTTCCTAAAGCAGCAGGCTCAAAGCCCAGTGTCTAGAAGTTAACGAGCAGCAGCCTCAGAGATGATACAGGACCTGACACTATTTAGCATCCCCATTCTCTGCAGACAATACAAACCAAGAAAGTAAACTTTAGCTTTGTACATTCTTCAGCTAGAAAACTAAAAAATCATTTTAAGATTGCTAAGGTAGTGCCGTTAGTTAACACTAAGAGAAAAAAAGAGTGATGTAATTTGTGAAGGAGGTGAAGTTTGGATACATAAATCTGTACCATT